CAGTTGGACTTGGTGTAATATTAAAATAATGCATGTAAAACACATAACATGACACTTGGTATAAAGGTATATAGCAAGCACTAACTAAATGCATAACTATTAATCTTACCAATATAATGTTCTCAGCATTATATTCAAGAATAAATTAGATCTTTAGTTGTTACATATAATCATTTATTTCAGATTAAATTTAGAGTAAATGTATTTCAATTTCTCTAAGCTTCTAAGATTCAGTGATTATATTGCTTATTAATCATGCTCCATTGTATAATCCATCCATCTCCTTTTCATGACTTGAGAGAATGCAAATCTTATATCTTCTCTCAAGGAAAATATTATGACTATATAATTAAAATAATTTTTAAAATGTATTTATATTCCAGCTTTAGTGCTAGTCCTAATCAAAATTTAAATAGTCATTTTACATTAAATATTTGACATATAATATTTTGTAATATATTGAATTTACTGTAGTAGATGACTAATTATCTTGGCTATTTGCAAATAATGTAAGCATAAATATACTGATAAATCAAGAACCTTACTTTAATTATTGACATAATTATTCAGGATATTAATCTATTATCATTGCTATAAAACAGTCAATTTTCATATTGCCATTTCCTTTTTATTATTTAAATACCTCTCTGTTGGGAATGCAGACAAAAAGATGGAAAAGATTTATAATAATTAGGTAATGTAAGTTTAGTAGGAGCTCCATCTTTATTTATTCATATATTCATAGCAAGTATTTATTGACCATGAATTCTATGCCAGAAAATGTGATAGGTAATTTTTTTTTAAAGTCACAATCCTTGCTTTCATGTAGCTTATGGCCTAGTGGAGGAGTCAAACATTAATGAAAAGATTATATAAACATATGTAAGTTTACAGCTGTCATAATGGCTAGTAAAGTGATGGATGTAAATTCTGATAGTGTAAATAATAATTATTGTTCCAGTCAAAGCGATAGTGGATAGCTTCCCTGTGAAAATGAAAATCAAACATATATATATATATATATGTAAAAACATTTACTTGAAGTTTCAGGAGGGTCAATCCAGACTGTAGGAATAGCATGTACAAAGACCATACATCAGGAAGAACTGCTGGAAGGGAAAATGGTACAATATGAATATGTTAAAGCAGGTTGGGGATAGCCTACCTAAACCTGTATAGACCATGTTTTTGATCTTTCTCCAAAGAGCAATGCAAATTCATTGAAAATTTTTGAAGTGTGGTGGGAGACAGGATCAGATTTGCTCTACAGAAAGACTACTTTGGCTACAATAGGGAGATTGAAGAGGAAGAAAGGTAGATTTCAGGTAGTCTTACAAGGAGCTGGAGCCTAGGAAAATGATGAAACTGGTAATAGAGAAATGAATGGATATTAGGATTCTCAGGAGGTGAAATCAATAGTGATATATTTAATAGGGGGCATAGGCTGGAGAAGACAATGAGGCTAACAAGTTTTATGACTTATGTAAAAAGTCACCATTCATTAAAGCAGGAGATGTTGGAAGAGGACTGGTTGAATATCATGAGTATGATGTTGGTAGGTTAAATGTTAAATTTGAGGTATTTTCGAGTCATTTAGCAGAAATGTCAATTATGTAGTTATATAAATCAGTCTAGACCCCAGAGCTCAGATACACATCTAGAAATATACATTTGTAAATCGTGTGTAGATGGGGACAATAGCAGTAATGAACACAGAAGAGCTCAAATGAGAAAAGGATGTAGGCCCAAGTCCAGAGAACTGCTAACATGAACTTGAAAAAGGAACTGAGAAAGAGATGCATGTTATGTCATTAAATTCAAGGGAAAGTTGTCTTTGTGATGCAGGGAGAGATCATCAGTGCTAAATGTCAAGAGACCTGATCAGATGAGCTTTGAAGTATATCTGCTATGTTCAACAATACAATAATTAAGAAGTACTTTTTCCATGAGGAATAGGGTACCCAACAATATGGGAAAAAAAGAGTCTTCTCAGAGTGACTGGGATATATAAAAATAGAGAGAAAAGGTGGTAACATGGAGTAACCAGAGGGTAGAGGGAAGGGCTCAATCTCTTTGATTTCATTTTAACAAGAAACAAAGAGTCTTTTAATAGGAAATCTAGTTAATAGGATGATGTTGAATGCATGAGACAGGGACTTAAATATCTGAAATGGAGGTTGATACGTTTACTGATGGAAACTTAGCCTTAGAAAAGGGGACAGCTCCTGTATTATGGAAGCAGATAAATAGAGTAGACTGCATTTGGGCTATAGGTTGGAACGTAGAAATAAGTATGAATTTTAATCTCACATCTTCTGTGTTCTCTATGTAATAACAGTGGGAGTAAAGATGTGGAAAGTCATTGTAAAAAGTGGACAAGTGAGTTGACCAAATAAATAAAAACCTAAGAAGGGTAAGAATAAATCGTTGTCTTTGATTATTTCTGGTTATATTGTTTATTGACATTTAGGAAATTTTAGAACTGTCTTTCTGAATTAGTGGTCCTTGGCCTTTTTTAAAATTTTGCTTCAGTGTAGCACCTCTAATATAAGAAAGGACTACCACATACTCATTATCCATTACAGTGTTCTGCTGTATCATTGATTCTGAAGAATGGAGTGAAGCATCTCTTTAGGAAGGACTATACAAAACTCAGAGACAGGAAAGAGAGAGAGAGAGAGAGAGTGTGTGTGTGTGTGTGTGTGTGTGTATTTGTTAGAAAAAGTTCATTATACGATTCTGATATGCCTTCCACAGGGAGGCTAGAAATTTCTCCTTGAAAATAGAATAGCCACGTGTTGAAAATAGACCAGAATTTAGGAATTTGTTTATAGATATATGACAAGTAATTGTTAAATTTAATAAACAGTTTAGCACATGCAAATAATCAGCTCCCTTTTCCTAAATAAAAAACTTTAGATATTTTTCTTCTATTTTAAAAATTCACTTTGTGAGATTTAGAAGTATCCGTTATTAAAATCAGTAACTATTCCAATTTATATTCATTTGAAAGTAAAACATGTAATTATTTATTAGAAAAATATTTATGAACATTTTATAAATACTATCAACATGTTGTCAGTAAATTCCTCCTCAGGTGGAATTTTCTGACTTTGGTTGAGTCATTAAATGCTTTGGGCCACTAGTGATCAATTAGTAAATTACTGATCCATAGTACTTTAATGGCCTGAAAAAGTAAATGCATCTTCTGAGAGCCTAATTGAATCTTAGAGAGTTATTTATTCATCATTAAGATCAAGATAAATGAGTCAGCTCACAATAATGATACTGAACAGTTACATTCATTTCACAAATAGATAAACTAAAGCTCAGAAAAGACAGGACAAGGGAGTTAAACATCCAGGTTAGATCTTCCATCTGAAAAGACCCAATTCCCAGTATCTTGCTATAAAATTAAATATATGAGTTTGAAAGCAATATTTTTCTGCAAGTTCATTTTCATATAGTGTTATTAAGTTTGATGCCATTCAGTTAATAATTGTAGATCCATGGTACATATACTAATATGGTCTTGTTATAATGTAAATAGTACAGTTTAAACAGCAAAATTTCACACTCTTTTAATATAAAAATTTTCCTAGAACCAATTATCCTAAGTGACTACTATATGGTTCATTTGGAAAATGAATGATAGCTGCAATATGGTAAAATGATTATGAGCACAGGCTTTGGAATAAGAAAAATGTAGCTTTAATATCTGGCTTCTGTACTTACTTGCTGAGATCTGAACAAGTTACTTAAACTTCTAAGGTTTAGTTTCTCCACTTATGAAATGGAGAGGAAAAACGCATAATTCACAGCTCATTGTAAGGACTAAGTAAAAAAAAAAAATCCTTAAATACTTAGCATGGGGCCTAGCAACAAATATATATGAACTTGGTACACACAGACATACAAACACATACACACACTGCTTAACTTTAGCTAGAATATTTTTAAAAGCATTATTACTTTGAGACTAGATTCATCCAAGTTGGTTTAGCATTCTACTGGGCATGTTACTTTTCATGTCTTTCGTGGTTTTTGTCCCCAAAAGCTATAAAACAAGTTTTATCTTCTTTCATGAAACAATTAAAAAGAAAATAACGAGAAAATGTTCAAAAAATAATTTACTAGTATTTGTGTTTGTCTGGAAGGGACATCCTGCAGCTTTGATCACAGCTGAAGATCATTACTTCAAACAAGATACATCTTTTAGATATTTAAATATGTTTTATCATATTATGCAATTTAAATGTAAAGTCATCTACCCTCTGCTGTACTGAGATCCTGCTATATTTTAAATAAGTAAAATAGTAAATTTTAGTGCTATCACTGAGAATATAAGAAGACACATTAAAAAAGGGATTATTACTCCAAGAATTATCTTTTTTTAATCATTAATTGTTCATTAAAATATTCCTGACATTTATGCAATACAATCATGTTAGTGATCTTTGGCATAGACAACTTAGTGCTGTAAAAACTAACAAATCTGTTTAGAGCCCAATAGTATAAATTTCTATGCCGAGAAATATAAACCAATGGTAAAATGCCATGTTGAAGTTTCTAAATAACCCACCTAATAATTTACATGTTAAGAACATGTTGAATATCTTGGGAACATGTCCCTAGAAAGGATTCTCCAGTATAAGCTTTTCCTTTACTATTAATGATGACTTTGATAAAAATCACCCAGGGAAAAAAAGACGATTTTTTCCCTGTGTAATCTGTGTCTGAAATATTCTTCACTGATTTTACATGCGCTGATAATATGAACAAGGTAATTTGTCTGACTCTGATGGGGCAAGATTTTCAGTAAGAAATTCAAAATTTACACATGGCTCTTCTGTAAGAAGTCTTTGCAGTGTTTTTCAGTTTATATAAAAAGATTTATATTGCCTGAGGCATCTGTTTTTTTCCTCGAGGCAAGCTGAAGTGGCACAAATGAAATTGTTTTTCACATTGTTAATGTATTCCTTTCTCTTTCAATTTCTCAGAGAGCCGACATAGGGATTTCTGCTTTAACCATCACTCCTGACCGTGAGAATGTGGTGGACTTTACAACACGTTACATGGACTACTCAGTGGGGGTACTACTTCGAAGGGCTGAAAAGACAGTGGATATGTTTGCCTGTCTTGCACCATTTGATCTCTCTCTATGGGCTTGCATTGCTGGCACAGTCCTTCTGGTGGGTCTACTGGTCTACCTCTTGAACTGGCTTAATCCCCCACGGTTACAAATGGGATCAATGACGTCTACCACTCTCTACAACTCCATGTGGTTTGTGTATGGATCTTTTGTACAACAAGGTAAGGAGCAAAACTATATTCTAGTATTTAAAAAAAACAGAATGTGATGTTTCCCATGCCATGTATTTAGTTAATAAGGTTCTGTATGTGACATCAATAAGTGTTCTAAAGGGTCCTCACAGCAATGCTCAGAAAAGAACATTTCCTTCTCCCTCCTAGTGGATCTCAGACACACCAGGTTTCCAGCAATAATGGTTCATTGTCTTTTGATGCAAGTTCAATTTCATCAACAAAGGCAAAAGTGAGTGTCAAAAGTAAAGCTCACAAAAAACATCAAGATCTGATTTTTCTCTCCAAACTCACTTTCTGAGAAATAGCCTTACTAGGATGAAACTACTTATTACCAGAGAAGGTACTATTTAATTATTTACATATGTAAGAAATGTTAGGATTTGTTCTTTGTTCAGAGACATTATTTCATGCATTAAAAATATTCATTGACATTGAAAAGACTTTGGTTAATTTAAGACTGATAAGAAATTTTATGTTTTATCTTTCACTTTGATATGTAATCTTTACTGGTGATTTAACTTACAATTTCACTATTTTCTAGAGAATGTCATTGCTCTGTTATTTAATATCCAATCTGCCCAACTCTTTAAACTTGTCTGATTAATTATTTGGCTCTCACTGTTTCAAAATAGAATAATATTTATTGCATTCCTTACTTGAGACTTGCCTCATAGAGAATGAAATAGTAAGAAAATTGATAGTCTCTTGCAAGCTCTACATATATATTGAAGAGGAGAGATGTTTGTTACAATGGAGACATTATACTTTTGTGCTAATACTTACAACTGAATAACATCTTACTTTTTATTCCTATTTTCTGTTGGACCTTCCATTAAACTTCATTTTTCTATTCTAATTTAACTAATCAAAGATTAGTCTAGAACCTTCATCTCACTTGCCCACTTCTAATCTAGCCCTTAAACCTTTTATAAGCATGCTTTTCCCTCTACCTTTCCATATCCAGGGCTCTAAGTTTACCCGTTACTGTATATTTTTCACACTTTTAGTTCATTCATTAATAATTAACTCAGTAAATATTTAATCCACACTGTCTAAGTAGAACTTTGCTAAGAACTGAATGTATGATGGTGAGCAAGAGGGTCTTTGCCATCATAGCGCCACGACAGAAGTCTAATGAGACACAAATGTATAAACATGGGATTACAATTGTGGGTAGAAAGTTCTGTGATAGGATAAGCATAGACTGTTAGGAGAACATAGGTGTAGAAGAGCTTAATATATGTTAATGTCACAGAGAAGGCTTTTAAAAGTAACACTTTATATAGAGAGACAGAGCTAACTATGGAAAGAGCTTCTTGAAGAAGATGAATGGAGAAAAAGAGACATAAATGGTTAGGATGGAATTTCAGAGCAAGAAGTGAGAGAGAAATTAAGATAATCCAAGCAGAGGGGAAGTAGTAAAGATGAGGCTGAAGCTACATTTGTTATTATCAGGAGTTTGAACTGATCCTTGAAATGATCAGATATTTAAAGATAATAAACAGGAAAATACAGGTTCAAATTTTACTCTAGAAATGTTCTGGTTATAATGTAGAGAACAGATTGATAAGTGTTCACAATAAGAACAGATTGTGAAAAGTGAGATAAATTAAGACTATTGTAATAACTGAGCAAAGAGTTGGTGTGGCTTGCTCAAAGGTAAGGTAGCTTTGGGAGTCAAAAGGAGAGTATTGATGAAATGGAATCCGTAGGTTTTGATTAGCTATAGAGTGGTGGGGGGTCAGTGCTGAAGAAAAAAAAGGAGATAAAGTTTTATTGTAGGTTTTTGAATAGAAAATTATGTATATTGGATGTTGATCTCGTTTACTGAAAAAATATAACCCCCAAAAAAATATATGACAGGAGAAATGATACATTCATTCTGCTGCACATTGAGTTTGAGCTATCTCTGAAACATTCAAAAGAGTATTACTAATGTGTGCTCAGTGGTTTGAAATATTCGTCAGATGCACAAAAGAGACATCTGGACTTAATATATATTTAGGAGATACTGGAATGTAGGAAATTTTGAAGACATGGGAGTGAATGAGATCACACAGAGTAGTTGCTCTTAATTGCAAGTTCCTGATTGAGAACCACTGGCCCACACAAAGCCTAGGACAGAGCGCTAAAGAAAGGAATGGGTAGAGGAGTGCTCAGTGGTGCCTCATAAGGAGTGACTAGAAATGCACAAATGCAAATCAGAGCAGCTAGTAGTATACATTTGGTTGACTGTGTTAAACATTTCAAAGAATCAAATGAAATTAAGGCTTGAAAGGTTTTTGTTGGATTTAACGATAAATTTATTATTGAAGCAAAAAAGCTTTGTCCTTTCCCTATGATGTCTAAGGTTTCAGCTAGATAATTCGGAGTCCAGAGGCTAACATCATCCAAAGGCTTGTTCACTTCACTCACATATCTGGTAGTTAATGTGGGCTGCAGGCTAGTGGCTTCAGCCTTTTCTCCACTTGGGCCTCTCCATGAGGTCACTCTGCATGGGATAGTTTGACTTTCTCACAGTATGGTGGTTGATTTCTCCACAGAAAGCATCCCAATTAAAGAAGAATGTTATGTTCCAGGTTGAGAGTCATAAACTTGTGTGATGGTGTGAGTTCCTCTTACAGAAAACATCCTGGATGTACCCACCTCATGGGTTTTTATGAGAATTAATGAATGGTTAAAATTGTGAAGTTCTTAGATATAACTTATATAAGTGTCACATAAGTGTTTACTAAATAAATAAAACAATGAATTAAACTCAGCTGCAGAGAGTTAGGCATATGTAAAAAAGGGATAACGAGACAAATGATTTTAGATCATTTTGATGTAGATAATGATTGAAATAGTAGGTCGTGGGGTACATGGAACAACTATAAATAGAAGGACCAAGAATGTGAATGTAATGAAAACTAAGAGTAGAAATCGATAGAGTAGGCCTGGCATGGTGGCGCATGCCAGCACTTTGGGAGGCCGAGGCAGGCGGATCACCTGAGGTCAGGAGTTCGAGACCAGCCTGGCCAACATGGCGAAACACCGTCTCTATTAAAAATACAAAAACTTAGCCAGATGTAGTGGCAGGCACCTGTAATCCCAGCTACTCTGGAGGCTGAGGCTGGAGAATTGCTTGAACCTAGGAGGCAGAAGTTGCAGTGAGCAGACATCGTACCATTGCACTCCAACTGGGGCAACAAGAGGGAAACTCTATCTCAAAAAAAAAATTGATAGAATTGTTAGTAGTAGAAGAGAGTAGTAGAGGTCTCAGTAATATTACAGGAAAAGAGTGAAAACATAATTGTAAATGAGTTTGAAGCCTGTATTTATAAAATAGGACACCTAAGCCTAATTTTTTTTTGAAATGTAATAGAGGAGAACAAGTTGTAGGTATGTGAATACGAATTCCAAAAGTTAAGAGTTGGTGAAGGACTTCAAAGCTGATCAAGGAACTGAGAGATTAAAGGGTTAGGTGAACCAGCTGTAATGATGATTTGGATTAGACTGGAGAAAAAGAAATTGAGCCATGTGTCAAAGTTGTGAATAAATAAGGAAGGATGACAAGGATGTTGATAGACATGAGCATTGACCAGAAATAGGAGGTGATATAGCTAGATATAATTAACCTCTATTTTCATCTTACTGCTTCCCATTTATTCAATTTTTCAGTGCATGATTTCAACAACTGCCAATACGCTGATGACTCCCAGATCTACATCATCTATTCTTGAACTTCAGATTTGTATATTCAACTGTTACCTAGGCAACTCTCTGACTATACCAGAGGCACCATAAATTTGAACATGCCAAAAATGGAATTCATTTTATAATCTGAACCTTCTTAGCCTCTCACATTCTCTATTCCAGCTGATCCACCACCAACCATTCAGACTCATGTTAGAAACTCTGAAAATAACTCTTGATTTCTTCCTCTTTCTCAGCTTGTATATCCAACCATGATCAAGTCCTGTCAATTTTATCTACTAAATATTTCTAGAAGTGGAAATCTCTTCTCATCTAGAAAGATTAGCCTAGATTGTCACCTAGATTGAGGCTCCCTCACTTTTCACCTGAACTATAGGAGTCTTATAATAAGTCTTTCTTCTTCCAGTGTTGTCTCCTGCAAATATACGATTCACATACTTGTGTATATACCCAAGTTATCCATGCCATGGAAAGATGAACACATAATTCCCATTCTTCAGATATTTTTTTGGCTTCCCAATGCCTGCAGTTTAGAAGTCTGAGTTCTTCAGAGTATAAACAATATTCCATCACCTGACTCCTGTCCAACGCTCAGTTCTCATCTCTTACCATTCATGCCCCACATTTAATGGCCCAGTTACTCCAAACTGGTTTTTGTCCCTGACTATAAGACAAGACTCTTTCCTACCTCTTCACTTTTGCATCTGCTCTTTCCAATTCCCGGAGTGCCTTTGTTACCAACCTGATTAGACTCTACTCCCACTCTCTGCCTTTATACAGCAAGTTCCTAGTCATCCTCTCATTTTTTCCTTTATTTCTCTACTTTCAAGAAGTCTTTCCTGGGATTGAGAACCATCTTCTATACTCCTCAAGATATATTTATCATAGTACTTATCAACCATAGTGTAATTCATTTTTTTTAAACATGTCTCCACCTGAATCCTTTGAATATATAATAGTGAACTATTTAATCTGTGTAGTCTCTTTGCTTATAGTTAAGTGCCTTGTACATGTTAGGCATTTAATAAATTCATATTGATAAATTTAAAGAATGGATGCTAAATACTTAACTAAATAAAACATGGAGGTTAACTGCAATATTTTGTTTATTAAATTATAGTCTCAAACAAAAATACTAAAATTGTCCGCAAATGACTTAAAACTCACTAAACCAAAAAGAAATTTATTTGTAATGTCCCCACTGAGTTGTTGTAAAAAGCTAAGAGGAGAAGTTTATAAGTAAGGCATCTTCTTAGTTGAAGCCTTTTTTGAAGATGTTGATATGCTTATGA